CGCGGTTCCGGTGAGCTAAGAAAATGCTTATCTCCCTGAGCTTGGCCTTCATAATTCCATTCCATCACAATTAACTAGAAGCTAAGATGTAAAGCCATGCTTTGCAGTGCACTTTGAAAAATATGGTTCAGGGTTAAAGCAAATGTCCTGTTGTGTTAACTTCTTTGCTTGCAAGGTGTCAGACCATTTTGATTGACGTCACCTTGTTTGTGTCTTCTGAGATCAAGATTTATTTAGGCTAAGTTCCTAAGCCACCACTTTGGTGAATTCTAAATTCCATAAAGAATATGTGCTCTGTCAGGACTAGAGTTCTGCTTTTTTGTACTGTTATGTAAGTCCAAATCCTAATAAAAGTTGTCAGTAATACATCCATGGAAGACTTATGAATTATTGAACCCAGATTTTAGTACTGTCTATACTGGTTGGCAATGGCTGTCCAAGGTTCTGGGTGTGGTTTTTTCCCCTTGCCCTACTTGCAGATATAAGGAATTGAATTTGGGACCTTTCCTTGAAAAGTATGTGCTCAGTGTCCTTCCCAAGCAAGTACCAGATAGATCTCAGTGGTGTGAGTACCCATAATTAGAGCACCAGTTATAAACAGAAACACCTCAACGTATACATAAGCAGCATCATACAGACACAGGTTTTTGACCTGCCCTGCTGTATGAACAAATGTTCTTATGTCATGTGTTCTCATGTGTACACATCTCTATCTACATGCAAACACTTTAAATATATTTTAGCATGTTCTACTTAATGTGCATTAAGTTTTTTGGCTTCATTTCTCTCTCTTCCTCTCTCTCTCCCCCCACCCCCCATGTATGTACCTGACTTTATTGCCAATACTGGATGATAGCTGAACTTGGTAAATTGTTTGTAGCTGTGGGTTAAACAGTGTTCTACATTGCAGTCAAGATTGGCAACATGACTTTCATATCTAAGGCTACACTGCTACCTAAAATATCTCCATTTAGCATTTCTTGTGAATGGCTAATTTAGGTATTGGCAGGACTGCTGTCCTAATAAATACATCCTAGACATCCCTCATTAACTTACATGTTTCTTGGGCTCATCCTTTTCAGGAGCAGATGATTCGGTGCTATCTGATGATCGACTTAATGAAACTGAATTAACGGATCTGGATGGCCAGCTTGACTCTCTGCCAAAGGCTTTCCTGTCCACTACCGAGGAGGAAAATCGTATGCTTCACTCCCATAATGACATCTCTCATAATATCCAGAGCAACAATCTTTCAGATGTGGAGTATGGGAACCATCATCGAGATGTTAAAATCATAGCGAGGAAGCACAACCACCTCTGGCCACATAAACATTCCCATCACTCTCACGGACACTGCCATTCGGGCAAAGACTTAAAAGACACCGGAATAGCAAATATTGCCTGGATGGTAATAATGGGTGACGGGATCCACAATTTTAGTGACGGTTTGGCCATTGGTAAGCAAAGCAAAAGGTTTGAGGATGGGATGGGAAGAGGTGCTCTTTGCAACAAGTAAACTTTCAGTGAGAAAAGAATAAGATAGCCTGTGTTTGATTTAGGGAGGAAAAAGAATGCAAGCCCTAAACAAGCCTCTGTATGATTCTTTCTCGAATTGCTCTTAGCAGATTATGCAGCACCTCAGTAGAAGAAGCCTTGCTCCTCACTCTCCCAATCCTTGCTGCCTTAGAATATTTGTTCAAAGCAGCAGAGAACGTCATTCCTTGTGCCCACAAATTATTGCTTAGTTCATATGGGGAATGGGAAGGAATATAATTGTGTTAAGAAATGCCACCTTCTCTTTGTGAGTTCTGTGTCCTGCCTCAATTGTAGGTAGCCTTGGTAAATCTCTTGAAGTCTTCATGCAGTAGCTGCTTCACTCCTGTTGGCCCAGCAAAGGTGGTTCATAAAGGCATTTTGTGATGCATCCCAAAGTGAAAATGTTGACGTCTTCCTGCTGGGAAGATCAGGGGGAGGAGGCAGGGCAATGCAATATGCCTGAATGAGATCTGCTCATGGGGATGGAGGGGGGCAGATCTGACTCGTTTCAAAATTTTGTTTTATCCAAAACCTGAACCAAAGGTTTTTCTACATTCAGTTTTCCTGAACTGAGGTGGGTCTGAAACAGTTCCATGGAACCTTCTGGGTTCCAGACAAAAGCTTTTCTGCATTTCATGCTCCCCTCTGGTACAAGAACAGGTCCCCCATTGATGACACTCAAGATCTACTATAAAAGATAGCCCGTTCTCCCAAATTCCAGAGCAGCTTCTTTTTTCCTGGCATATAGATCCGTGAAACATTTCAATAATCTGGGGTTAAAACATGAGCATTTGAGCCATCACTCCTGTGGTTAACCTGACAATCTTTTGGCCAAGAATGCTTTCTTTTTCATCTCTGCTGTTTTGCTTAAAAATAGCTTTGAAAAGATAACCAGTTAAAACTTTCTTTTGTTCTGTCCTCCACCCCCACCCCTCTCCTCTCCTCTCCTCTCCTCTCCAGGAGCTGCCTTCAGTGCTGGCTTAACAGGAGGAATTAGCACATCCATAGCAGTGTTTTGTCATGAACTTCCTCATGAATTGGGTAATCAGCTAATGTGATGTCAGCTGTGCTTTTATTCTTTGGTCTGCGAATCAAAAATTCTTTCTTAATAGATGTGATTATTTATGTAGCTCACAATGTCCAGAGTATATTTGGTTGTAGCAACATAGCTAGTGCAGCTGCATTCCTAGGCTAGGCCCTCTCATTTCAGATTCAGCTAAGGAACAATGAAAATAAAAATCATTATTTGGGCTGCCACAAGTACAGATGAGTACTGCTCTGTCAGTAAAAGTACTGCGTGCTTGTGTACACAGAGGTATTTTAGAAAGGTGTGGGAAAGAAAAGATCACATGGGCCCTGGGAAGCAACCACAGTAATAATAAAGCTGTTGTACTAGCAGATGTCAGAAGTTAAAACTGCAGGTACCTCTGGCGGGCCTCCTTCTCCACACTGGCACATGCGGCCACTCGCTTGAAGCCAAGCAGCATTGCTGGAGGTAAAAGAAGCGCTGAAAGACATATTGTGAGGTGGTCCCAGGTGCCTGTGGCCGATGGACTTGACAGCTGCTTCTACAGACACCCAGAGCCTGCTAAACTTTCATATGTGAAAGTTCACAGGCTGCTGTGCGTGCTAGGTTTGGGTGATATTTTTGATAACGGGAGTCTCTTGAAATGGAGAAAGATCTTACTGCTAAGTGGACTAAATGCAGGAATAGATTATACAGCGCTTCAGGGAGACTGCGCCCAGCAGCTGTCCAAATCTTGCATTGTATAGGCGTTATATCCTGTCCGCAAGCTGTGTGCATCTTTGTTCAGTGAAATGTATTGTTGTCCCCCTCTCACAGTGTAAACCATTTCTGCTGTTCTGGTTTTAGCTCCAAAGCACCTTCCCTGCAGGGTAGAAGTTCTTCTGCATCCATGAGCTTTGCCGTTTCAAGGAGAATGCTGTGTTTTGTTGTCTAGCAGTTTTCACATTTTCTCTCTTTCACTGTCACAAATCCAGTCACAGTTACAGAGTGTTTTGTTCAGTTCTATTCTTTTATGAGATTGCAGGAAAGGGTCACCTGATCATGTTACAGCCTTAAAGGATGTCAGCTGACTCTACCCCTATGCATTGCTGCTTTGATTTTCAGTCTCTATTTATTTCTGCGGTTTATCCTTTATAATCATAGTTTTCTTTAGTGGCAACAGCAGCTGAATTGCTAGCCAGTCATTTATGCAGGAGATCATTACTGCTATGTTGGGATAAAAGCAACCAGATTAACAACAATAGATGATAGGCACTTTGATATAGAGACACAAAGGAATAACATGGCTAGGCTACTACTGAATGCTTAAGAATGGTTAAGCCTTTGGGGGAATTCAAAGGTCACAATCTCCTCTCTCCGTTCCGAGCAGGAATCTTCCTTGTCATGCCCATTTTCTAGGCAGCAGCATTAACCACCAGGATTTCTGCTTAAAGTGAATTAGAAAACCAGCACTTTGAATTTCTTGTCATGTGGATGTAACCATAGATACAAGTCTAGTCTTTCAAAATGGAACGCTAATTCTTCAGAACTCATCCTCAGACCACTTTGATCATAGAACACAGAGTTTGCATGAATGTAAATATACGCAGGGATCTTTTTAGTAAGAATGTCCCTGTTTAGACTGAATAAAGCCATTGTTGGACCTGTGATTGTACTATCGCTTTTGTCTTTTGTTAGGTGACTTTGCTGTACTTTTGAAGGCAGGCATGACTGTGAAGCAGGCCATTGTTTACAACCTCCTCTCAGCAATGATGGCTTATGTAGGAATGCTAATAGGAACAGCTGTGGGACAATATGCCAATAACATCACTCTCTGGATCTTTGCAATCACTGCTGGCATGTTCCTCTACGTGGCCCTTGTGGACATGGTAAGATTCACAATACGTAGTGTTGTATGCCTGTGCTCCTTAGGGTGAGGCAGTGCTTGGAGTCCTGCAGGCTTGCCAAGCTACGATTGGAGCATGCAGCTCAGCTAATGCCAGAAGATCCAGGCCATATGGAAGGACAGTGAAGGAGCAGTTTCTCATAAAAGGAGTGGAATGGGCCTGGGAAGAGCCAGAGCAGGGATCGCTTACCACTATAGGATGGACAAGCGATGACCTTGGATTCTTAGCACGGAAAGGCAAATATGCTTGAAGAAGTTGAAAAAAGATTTGGTGGGATGACTCCTATAATTAGAAGATGGCACTTGAAGGATATCATTTGCCTAAAGGAACAGAAGCAATAAAGAGTGAGGGGGGAGGAGTTACTATATGCTACGAATAGCCACATTTGCTCGTAAATCCAAGTGAATGAATTTGGGTAATGTTATAGTTTGCAGCTCAGAGTTCCTTTTGGCGGATCGGTGGCCATTTAATTTTGATGGATGGATGGATGGATGGATGGATGGATGGATGGATGGATGGATGGATGGATGGATGGATGGATGGATGGATGGATGGATGGATAGATAGATAGATAGATAGATAGATAGATAGATAGATAGATAGATAGATAGATAGATATGATAGCAAGCAAGCAAGCAAGCAAGCATCTGGGGTTAAAATAAATGGAGAAACTAATAAAACCAGTCCTATGGTTGGAAACTGAAGTCAAGTTTTGTTATATATATATCTTGGGCTTCTAGAAATGTTTAAGCCGTGACAGTAACACACAGAATTCTACGGCAGGGGAAGTTCACGGGAAAAGAAGTCCCAGGGAGACTGTCCCAGCCACCTATCAGTGCAGGTCAATCATTTCAAAACACAGGTCCCTTCTCTACTTCTAAATTGCAGATGGGGACTCCCTAACTGAAAAAGGGTTATTCAGACCTTTCCTTCCTTTCAGCTTCCAGAGATGCTTCACGGGGATGGAGACAATGAAGAACACGGCTACTGTCCAGTGGGTCAGTTCATCCTCCAGAACTTGGGGCTTGTCCTGGGTTTTGCCATCATGCTGGTGATTGCCCTTTATGAAGACAAAATAGTGTTGGACATTCATTTTTGAAAATTTCCAGTACTCAACTGTGATTGCAGCCATGCTACTGTAAGACTTTTTTAGTCTGCCCTGTGATACTGTATGCATATCAGTTCCCAGACAAAGCAGTGACACACACTGATTTATCAGTAACAGTATTTTGGTATCTGTATAAACAGGCTCTGCTTTCTTTTAAGAAAGGAAGAAACAAAAGACTTGACTCATTTGGTTCAACGCTGTTGTTTTTTTAAATAAAAAATCAGGTTGTGTTGGAAGCAGAACATGTAAACATGATGCATGAGATGCTGTTACAAACATATTGTTTCTATTTGGCTCTGGCCGCGTGCAGCAGAAATCACATCCCTTGCTGACAAAGCGTTTTGTGTTGTACTTGAGCAAATGACGAGAGGCACCCCTATCCACAGAGCCCATGTGTCAAGCTATGTCATTCTCCAGGCTCCTTGTCCCAGCCTGTAACACACACAGGCTTGCAACTAAAATTAATTGGCAGTGCACAACTAGAACCATTCTGGGAGGGGTTACCTTTTTAATGGGGTTTAAACAAAAAACAAAAAAAGATGAATTGTTTCTAGCATGTTATCAGTGGATTGCATTTGCTCCCAGCCTTGTTGCCTGCTCTCTTGGCTCTTTTGCACTGTGCTGAATGGTGTGACCAAAGTGAAACCATGTGTTTTTCTGGTTCAGCCACTTGATTGAACTTTCCTCCCCCTTTTTTCGGTCCTTGCCAATCAGCTGTTTAGTACAGGGTTTCAAGCACACATTCTTGTCTGCAGCCACTGCTACACAGCTCTGCAGTTATCGGCTCCTTTGCAAATTCTGGAGCCCCTTCCTTATTATGTTGGCGATGCAGTATTGCACTCTTGTCCTTTTGAAGCCCAAGGAAAAGCAGGCTGTAGATTTCTGAATCAAGCCTTAGGGGCCTGTGTACCTCTGGGGTGGGGGGGGGGTGTTGAAAAGTATTAGCTATTTAATGTTAGCTTGTGGACATTGGTTAGCAAAACGCCGGATAGTTAAATATTGCTTGTGGACTCTCCCCGATCCCCTTGCTGCAGTTGTGTAACAAGTAGCAGTGCTGTTTGAGCACTCAGGTTGTAAGTGGTTCCTACTTTCTACTCCGTTACTAATGGAGTGCCTGCATCAGGTTTTTCTGACAGCAACTCTTTTTTCATGTCGGTTTACATGATTCCTGGGAATAGTTTTGAATGTATGACTTCAGTGCCACACTGCCGGAGTTTGGAGCACCTGCAGCAGCTTGACATTGGGAACTTTATCCCCAAAGGAGATTATTTTAATTGTTCACTTTTTTAATTCTGCTGGGCTTTTATCTATGTCTTTGCTGCAGTTGGGTTCCTTCTGTAATGTAGAAGTCCCAGGGTCTCTTCTGAGGAGCCAAGCGGGTGATTTCCTATCTCGAGGGTGCTTCCTGCTGGAGAGGGGGACCATTGTATCCTTGACATCTCCCCATATGGCTGCAGGGATTCCTAGAAACAGTGTGCAAAGGAGGAGTGTCGCAGAGATGAAATAGGAGCAGGCCTTCCACGACAGTAAAGCAGTTGTCTCAGCCTCATGGCATGTGCAGATTTGGGGAAAAGCCTTATCTCTGCAGGAGTTAGCTTCACCATGGGGAAGAATGTTCGTGCCAAGCAACTATTAACTCCCAGAGACAGATTGTGAGAAGAGCAGGCTCTTTCAGCCCCATGAAACAAGAACACAGTGTAACAGTCCTAAACAAAGCTTGGGAGTTAGTTTCTTCCAGCATTTTTCTTGCCTTTTTTTTTTTTTTAATGTATATATATAAGCTGAGCTGCATAGGAAGGTTGGTGGGTTTGTTTTGTGGGGGAGGGAGGTACTTGATTCCTATCAGAGAATTCCTAAAAATTAGAAAACCAAACAAGCTTTCATTCCAGTTTGTTTTTTGATCGTTCCACTTACTTTTCTCCAGACATTCCTGTGTTTATGTGACTTTGTCTACTTTAAAGGTGTGTTGGATGATGGTGGCTTTTGTGGGAGGGATAGAGTACTAACAAACAGCAGCGTTTTGGCTAGCTGTTGGCTCCATAGAGAGGATTGGACCCTACTCTCTTACCAACTGCATATCCACTGGGATCTCGGAACAACTGTAAGGACTATAAGGTTGGGTCTTATTTGGTCTTGCTCTCTTTGCTGGAGAGGGTAGCTCATCTATAGCTAAAAATGCTTCGCCCCAAGCTAGAGGAGGTGACTTCCTTTTCCTAAGGTTTGGGCCCTTGGACTTGTTTTATTAGAATCTGGCAGAGGGCATCACTGGAGTGAGACTTTTAGTCAGGAAAAAAAAAAAAGAGTACAAGACTTTTGAGGCCTGTTTTTGTAATTATGAATAAATCTTTCTCTACTTCAGGTAGTACTTTTTCCTTTTGCATTTTGCTGGCATGTGCTATATAGTGTGATGTCAATCTGGGGAAAAGAATTAGTCCTAAGTAACAGATTTTAATTTTTTTTTTTTTTTGAGAGAGAGAAAACTCTACAAAACACAGGTCATTTAGTGGAGTGTTAGGATTTTGATGGGCCTTCAGGAGAAAATCCTCCCTCATTCACTTGTGTGCCTGTTACGTGTTTTGAAGAGCAGCCCTAGCTTCTCCTATTTCCTTGGGCAACGAATTCCCCAACTTTTTGAAATACAATTAAGTGATCACATTTGGGACAATCGGGATTCCACTACATTTCTACATGGATTCATCATTCCCTTCCGCTGGAGTCCAGTCTCATTTAAATGTGTACTTGTTAGAGGGCGTAAATGTTACTTGTATCTTACAATGCTGTCACTGTGTGACATCCCATATTGATCACACTGCACTGAATCAGCTGTGATGATGATGATTGCTTAGAAAATGCTGTAGCATCCTAGGATGCAGTGTGACTTCTTTCCTTACGGTTGAAACAATGTGATTATGGTCCTGAAAGATATTTGAGATACAGCTTTTGGAATTGGGGGTTGTTTTGTTTTATTACAACAAAATCC